CTTTTTTTTTTTTTTTTTTTTTTGGTTTTTTGAGACAGGTTCTCGCTATGTAGCGCAGGCTGGCCTTGAACTCCCAGCAATCCTCCTGCTTCAGTCTTCCATATAGTGGGATTACAGGCACGTGCCACCGTGCCCAGCTTCTGTGCTCCACACTTTATGGAACTACGCTGAACCACGCACAAGAATTTTGTCTAATTTTTCCATTAGACACATTTTTTAAAGACAGCAGCAAAGCCAGAACCAATCTTAGATCTCATGTAGCTCAATTTTCCATTAAATTTAGGAATCCTATCCACAACATACCTGCCTTCACATGTCCATGGCAATATGTAAGGGGTGGGGAGTGATATGGGATTGCCCAGCTGTGTCACATGGTGGTCTGTTCAATTGCTGATCACCTCTGATGATAAGAAACTGCCCTTGATAGACCAAAGGGGTGATTCAAACAAGCCACTGTGCAGTGTCCTTTAGGATTACCCTGAGAACACCCTCCAAGGACAGGGCCTTCCAATCATAAATTCAACCTGAAACAGTTTGGAGCAAACAACTGCATCAAGAAGTAGACAAAAGGAGGTTAAGCTCAAGTTCCTACAATGAGGATAAATCAAGACTCTGAGAAACACCAAACTATGAGTTGATAATGAGCAGGGCATGGTGTTAAACACCTGTAAATCTGGAACTCTGGGAGGGTGAGGCAGGAGGATCACAGCAAGACCGTCTCAAAAAATAAAAATAAAAAAGGAAGGGGAATGTAGCTTAGTGCAAGGTCTTGGGTTCAATCCCCTGTATACTCCTCCCCCTTGCACATATGAAGAGTTGATAACAGTGCTGATGAGGAATATTTGCTGAGTATTCACATAGATAAGAAGAGGTCAGACCTTGTTTAAGTGCCGTGTATTTACTAGTCATTTATTTCTCCTAACAATCTCATGAAGAACATTGCCCTTGTTTTATAGTTGCGCGCTCATGTGCGCGCGCACACACACACACACACACACACACAGAGAGAGAGAGAGAGAGAGAGAGAGAGAGAGAGAGAGAGAGAGACAGAGAGAAAGAGAGAAAGAGAGGGAGAAACTAATCCACGTTCCTGCAGCTAGAAAGTGAAAGACCTAGGATTTGAGCTCATGTTTTTGGCTTTGGAGACTGGCTCTTTAACAACCATATTAGATCACTGTGCTGAGAATGCCCATTGACTGCCAAGCACCGTTCAATCCTTTAAGCATCCTAGCAATCCTACAAAGCAGGGTTGTATTATCCTATTACAAAGCAGCTAGTAACTCGACCAAGTTTGCACAGCTATGGAGCACAAAAGCTGGGGTTCAGATGCAGGTAAGCTGGTCTCTGGGTCTGCACGCCATTCCCCAGACACAGTGCTCTGTCTCGTGCAGGGAAAGCTCATGGTAAAGTGTGCCAAGGTACAGTAGGTGCCAGCTGGCCCAATCTTGGTGTGCAGGAAAACCCACACTCCCATCACCCCAGGACAACCTTCCCCCCAGGACAAAGGGAAGGCGAGGGAACTCTAAGCGAGGGGCCTGAACCAGCCAGGAGGGCCTCCCAGCAGGAGCACATTCAGGAAGGGGCCACATATTGAGGGAAACTGCTATCAAATGTAACAGAAGCTAGTTTGGGGCTTCAGTGGGTGAGAAGTGTGCAGATACCTGATGGTTTGCTACCAGGACTGAGCAAGTCAAAGTCCATTTAATTCCATCTGAATTCCCCCTCAGAATGGCTGTTTTTGTTTTGTTTGTTTTCTTGAGGTCTCCCTATATTGCCCAGACTTGACTTAAATTTCTGGGCTCAAGAGATCCTTCTGTCTCAGCATCTTGAGTAGCTGAGTAGTTTTGTGGAGGTGGGGGTGGGGGGATTATGTAGGTTTTGCAGTACATGAAAGTATTAATAAAACCTTGGTGAATATTGAATGCAAATTGTGCTGAATATAAAGCAATGCAATTAGTTCATTTTTCAAATATCCATAACTGAGGCTGTTTTCTTTGTTCAGAGAACACTGCTCCGTAATCTCCCATTATTTTTAGAAAATCATATGGGGGATAGGATTTACAAGATTTAAAAAAAAAAATGGATTCCTTACAAAATAATTACGTATTCTATAGTAATGCATGTTAACTACATTAATTCAGTAAATAAATTTAACATCTGCGATATACTAGGTCCTGTCACAGGTTCTCAATAGTAGAAGCAGAAAGCCACAAAACATTCCACATTTACACTCTAGTGGAGAAACAAAATAACCAGAAAAAAGGAGCAAAATATAGGGCATTTTAGGTGGCGGTTAGTACTAAAAATAGAAATTAAGCAAGGAAAGAGATGGGGGACAGCATGTGACGATTTTTACAGGGTGGCTAAAGAAGACATCACCATGCACGTGCCCTTTAGCGTTCAGGACCGCAGCACTGAGCCTGTCCTGAGAGATGCCCGGTACATTTCCATATATGACTGAAATAATGAGATTAGAGGCAATAAAGGTGTACAGGTTCTAAGGTTCTAGACGGCAGCACTTTTGAAGATCAGATCTGTAATAAGAATCCTATATGCACCTTTCAACTTTGGTTTAATAATTTTTTTCAATATAGTTCCTCAAAAGAACACCTCCCAAAAGCTCTGTGTTCTCGCTCTGGAGTAAAGCACCCTTGGTTTCAGTTTTATCCGTTTAATCCCCCAGAGCCCATAAAAATATGCGGCACGAATGTAGAAAACATTTGGAACCCGGGACCCAGTGGACGCGAGTCCACCGACTGCTGACCTCAGATGCTGGTCTAACAGGTAGTCGTGCCGGACACAGCAGTCCCAGTCTTTTTTGCCAGCTAGCAGGGTGCAGGGGATGGGCTGGAGGGGGAGTTCAACTGCATGCTCCACGGCAGCGATCTGTCTTTGGCTGGACTGGAACACGCTCTGGCGTCTTTCCTACGCCGAGACAGCACGAAGTGATGAAAGCTGGCCTGTCTGGACTCAGTCCCAGCCATCCTCCCCTCCAGGGACACGCCCAGACCCGCTTCCCCTCCCGCTACCCAGCAGCTTCACACCCGCCCCGCCCTTTCCCTCACGGCAGCCCTCGGATTGGC